TGGTTGGTTTTTCTCTTCACGTAAACCGGAACTCGGGCAGTTTTGACGTTCTGTCGTCTTGTGAGGTCAAAGGTGAACGCCCTCCGGGTCAAAGGTGAAATCTACGACTCGATTACCCATGTAGTACATTTGAGGTCAGGTGGCACGTATGTCAACATTATGCGTTTCAAAGCGACCACCTTACAACGTAACACGTGTCTGACTTTTATTTCTGATGTAATATAAAGAGGGAAATATTTTTTAGGAATAACAGTCAAGCCAAACTGTTTGGTCTGGATCTTGATTTCAGTGTTTTATGATCAACTCACCACCTCTGATACAGTCCATCCGAGAAAAGAAGGCAACACATTAGAAAACATTATGTTCAAGGTACATAATGATTTAATTGTGTTAGCAGAAATTATTTGCACATATATAAATAAAATATATATTACATATAGCTTCTTATATGTATATATATATATATACTTCTTACTGTTTTTGGATGGATGAAAAGTCAACACTATCGACTTCTACTTTACAGAGTTAATGTTAATCTAAATATATAATTGTATTTCTATGACATACAGACACATACAAACGCAGCACTAACCTCTATCTTCCAATTAAGTACCTTTTACATTCACTTACGGATGACAATAACTGATAATGTACATGTTCGTTATCCATACAAGTTTACTGTTTTCAACTACAATTCTAGTAAGCTAGAAAGTATTAGCTATAGGGATTATTAAAAAAAAGATGATGCCAGAACAAATCATAACTGCAGAGATCAAAAATACAGTGGACGAAGGTATTGGAATACAACATTTCCTTGGGGAAAATGTGTGCCAATTTAAAACAAAATATTATACATCATTAGGGAATACCTAACTATTTGTCTATCGAGGTGATTGGTATGGAGGTAGAGAAGCTATTTGTAAGATTTTCCTTACAATATGTCACTACGGGATGGATGCAGTTGCAGAGTTGGTGCCTCCGTGTGGATTTTTATATGTCGACTTAGGACAGACCTGGAGGCTACAGATTAGTAACACTGGTCACACTTGTACGTTTTGTCTCCTGTATGGGCTCTCATATGTTCGGATAAGCTGGACCTCAGAACTGTCCTGTATCCACACTCCCAACACATGTAAGGTTTCGCCCCAGTGTGTTTTGCTACATGAGCAACCAAACTGGGTTTTTGAGCTGCAGAATAGTCAGCAATTAATTGATTTTAGTGTTTTATTATCAACTCACCACCCCTGACAACATTCCATCCAAGGACAAAAGGCAGCACAGAAGGAATCTTTATGTTCAAGTACATAACGATTAAATTATTTTAGTGGAAAATGAATCTATCTTCATGTTCGAAAAAAACTACAAAACAAACAGGAACTTCTACTCGTATACTACGATTTTTACGTCTACGTTTTTACAACTATCAAATTACTTTCTACTGTTAGAAACTAAAGCACGTCAGTCATTAATAACCGATGAAAATCAGTGTGAAGATCTTAATACGAACCAAATGCTAGTTTATTTACTGTTGATATTAGTCCAAAGATATCTGTTTGTAGTACAGAGCAATCTACATATGTATTAACAGTAAAAATCGAAGCTCCTTCTTTTATACAAACTCAGAACTAACGTCTACAGTCACTTACCGATTACTGATGATGCACATTTACATTATTCAACCAATACCATCAAGTTTACTGTTTTTTTCCACTACAATATTATACCTAAAAAAGAGGATGGTTAATGTACATTTACATTATTCAACCAATATCATCAAGTTTACTGCTTTTTTCTACTACAATACTATAGAGCGAGGATGGTTAAGGGTTGAAAATGATTAATATCTTAAGGAAGTATATGAGGTTTGCTAACAATTATACTTAGACTGAACCATAGTCGTGATAAATGACCAAAGTACATAACTTTCCAATGGAAAAACCTTCGCCTACTCACAAATATCTGGTCTTACAGAATAGTTATGAATGTGATATATCCTTAAGCTATAGTTATAATACTGTGTGTGCTAAATGTCTTTATACGAGGTTGTAACAATTGCAGAGTTACAGTGTTACGGTGCCTCAGTGTGGATTTTCATATGTTGAGTTAGGATAGACTTAGAGGCTGTAGAATAGCTACACTGGTCACACTTGTAGGTTTTTTCTGAGGTATGGGCTCTCATATGTCGGGATAAGGTTACCTTTTGAGTTGTCCTGTATCCACACTCCCCACAAATGTAGGGTTTCTCACCGGTGTGTTTTGATAGATGAACGACCAGGTCTGATTTCTGAGCTGCAGAATAGTCACACAGGTCACACTTGTATGGTTTTTCTCCTGTATGGATGCTTATGTGTCGGGATAAGTGGGACCTCGAAGCTGTTCTGTATCCACACTCCCCACACATGTAGGGTTTCTGACCGGTGTGTTTTGCTAGATGTTGGTTGAAAGTGGTTTTGTGTGCTGCAGAATAGTCACACCGGTCACACTTGTAAGGTTTTACTCCTGTATGGGTTCTCATATGTTGGGACAAGTTGGACCTCATAGCTGTCCTGTACCCACACTCCCCACAGATGTAGGGTTTCTCACCAGAGTGCTTTGATAGATGTAAATTTAAAGAAGATTGCTGTGCTGAAGAATAGCTACACTGGTCACACTTGTAGGGTTTTTCTCCTGTGTGGGTTCTCATATGTTGGGATAAGGTAGACTTTAAAGTTGCCCTGTACCCACACTTCCCGCACATGTAGGGTTTCTCACCAGCGTTATCCAAGTTGACTTGTGCTGCCGCCTGGTCCCCAGCGTTGCTTGTTTTGCTGTCACAATCGACATGTGAATCCTCGGTGGGAGACCCAGAACACCAGTTCTGTTCGATGGGAGACCCGTGTCCTGTCGTTTCCATGTTCAGTCTAATGAAAAAAAATGAAGAAATTATACAAAAAATAAGCGTTAAAGATGCCAGGTTGGACACTCTGGTCTATCTAGCTGTTTTCACAAATCAGGTATTTTTTTAGATTTGTAAATGTACTAGTACACCTTACAGTTAGTTTTTTTTTTCTTCTCTAATGCTCACTATCATAATAATGACCATTTTGACACACGTGTACTCATGTTCATTTTAGTTAAGTGAAGAAAGTCGTGTTAAGTGCCTTTTTCAGGGGTACAAGGTCAGTGACTTGACAGGATTTGAACTCGAATCTAGGTTCTGATCCGAACACTAGTAGTTTCATTTATTTATTTCTGTTTTCTTTATACAGGGTAGACGCACTCAGCAATATACTGCTTATATAGTTACGCTACAAAACCCCAAATTGCGTTTTTACGATCCAGTTAACATTTCTCCATTTCTGTCTTATTTCACGTGCTACAAATATGCCACTTTTCCTCATGGAGCATGACATACATGTACTAGTAGGTGGCGAGGGTCGAACGCGTATGTTTGGTATCGCCCCCCCCCCTTAATTCAACGATATTCACATCCCGAAAATGTTTACAAATTATCGCTCTTCTATGGTGCTTCTTCCACAGAAGTGGTCTCAAGATATTTCTCTCGACATCAGAATAGTTTTCTGCCCGTTTCTATGCCTTACCTGCTTCCTATGATGATTTTAGTCTTCACGTAAAACGGAACTCGGGCAGCTCTGTCCTTCCGTCGTCTCGGCGAGGTTAGAGGTGAATGCCCTTCGGGTCAAAGGTGAAGTTGTCTACCTGATTACCCATGTGGTACTGTGACGTCGCGGGGCACTTTACGTTTTAGTGACCTCATAATATAATATAAACGTTTTGCACTTAGAACAGACCTAAACAAGAAAATAGACAAAATCGTAGAGAAATTGATGTAAAGCCAAACCGTTTGCCCTGGTGAATCTGAATTTCTGTGTTTTATGATGAACTCACCACCTCCGACAATATTCCATCCAAGGAAAAATGGTAACACAAAATGAAACATTATGTTCAAGATACATAACGATTTAATTGTATTAGCGGAAAATATCTGTAGGTACATCTTCCAAAAAATACACACAAAAAAACAGAAACTTTTACTTACTTTAACTTTAAGTTATACAACATAACGCCTACGTAACTGTAAAACTATTTCTTACTGTTGGAAACTGAAGCACATCAGTCATTTCACACTAATGCAAATCAGTGCAAAGATTTTTCTGCGAACCAAACGCTAGTTTACAGAGTTTCTATTAGAGGAAAAGATATTATTGTGTCTGTATGACTCTGTAAGACATACAGGCAAACACTTAGACAAACACATCACTAACTTCTACGTTTCAACTACTCACCGCTGTCCCAAAGATACGAATTAAGATCATTTAGTTTGCCAAGCGCAGTTTCAAAAACAGTAAAATGTCAGGGAAAACCGGACGGAAAGAAATAATGGCTGCCATTTTCCCGCTTTGAGCCGGGGCTGAATATGTCAAAAATAAAGCTGATAATTTCGCGAAACATCCTTTGACTTCTTTCTTTCTTGTGTAATTTATGATGGTGGCAGTATTAATTTACTTCTGTGGAAAATACAAGAATGATCTTTGAGGTTTTATCAATAAAGAATGGCCGAAAGGCGATGTTATATGATACCCGGTACGATCGAAGCAGGTAGCTAATATAATTCAGTCAGACGGGAGTGACAGCTGCTCATTAAAAAGGCTCTGTACGTCGTTCAGAAAGTTTTTCCGGACTCAACGTTTTTTCTCCTTCCAACTGATAGATTGGTGTATACATATTTCTATTACTTTTCTGTCGCAGTCTTTATTTACCGGGTAATTTACGTTTTCCTTTATTATTCCAACATGTAATCACCAGACGTGGTGACGACACAGTTTCTTCAACTTATATTAATGCCGCCATCAACACAGGGGACAAATACATTACAGGACAATACTCGTTTACACCTGAGCTAAGTGAGGAAAGTCGTGTAAAGTGCCTTTCCCAAGGGTACAAGATCGGTGGCATGTCAGGACTCGAACCCGGGACTCTTAGTTCCGAGTCAGTCGCGCACTCTGCCGCTACGCCACACGACCCCACAGGAGTGTGGAGGAGTAAAAGGAGCGTAGCCCCGGGGAAACCCGGAAGTGAACGATGTCGAGTCTACGTGGCCACATTGCCAACCTCCGGATACTTTGTCGGCTCTCTGGCGCAAAAGTACAGATCGCTACCATCACATCGTTACGTTACCATACAGAGTGATCCAGCAGAATTCCATATATAAGCTGTCTGAAATTCGAAAGCAGCCATGTTTACAATAAATGTGTGATGAAGAAAAAAGTAGATAAACAAGTTTTTTTTTCTCTATGTCCTGTATTTTTTCAACATCTTCAACAAACTAGTGCCGATTCATAACTGCCTCAAAAGGCCATCACGTTCCGAATTGTCGTAAAAGCCACTATGTATTACTACATACAAATCCGTAATAGCACCCTTGTATTTTTGTTGTTTAGCAGCATTTTTTGCAGTAACTTATTCTCCCGCGCACACTAGTTTTTGGGGTCTCTAGAGGATGCCATCTATATAAGTCAGTTTGGCCTAAGTTAATACACAATGTCATGTGACTTCTTACATTTTGTAAGATACAACTGGAGATACAACTCTGCGGCGTGTACATTTCACTCGCTATTGTGTTGACAACAATATACGGTAAGAGTAACTTAACCGTTTGACAATTAGAAGTGAACCACATAAAAAGAAACAGCTAATACATAACATTTCATAACCATAAAATTCAGATGCTGAAGTAGACCTTTTGCCTGTCTCGCAAACTGGGCATAAAATCCAAATGTTATTTGTACTAGACTTACACAAGCCAAGTGTTAAAGTTTGCAATGATGTTTCAGAAAACGTAGATGACTCTTTCAAGAGAAATGTTATATTTTCTAATTATTCCTTCTGTTGGTTTCTTTAGTCATCATGAAGTAACAATAAAGAATCTAAATATTAATATTCAAGCAACAAGCTTCAAACACGTACATTATTTAGAGTAAGTTGATTAAGAAACACAAGTGGACAGTTATGGTATTTTAGAAATAGCCAGAGGGATTTTTCAGCGATACTATATTTGGAAGGTGCAAAAGAATTATTCAAAAAAAGAGAAAACAACCGTGTGGTAGGACGATAACAACTTTACATGTATCCCAAGACCTCATGAAATCACTACAGACATAGCGTTTTACATTGAATCAGTTAAATAGATACTGAGTCTGAGATGGCAATCGTTTACAGCGTAGGGTCTATCAATATACATTGTATATTAAAATGACAACCTTTTATAGGGATGACAACCTTTAATAGGGTAAGCATTGTTGTACATTTTAAAAACCTTAACTGGGTTTTCTTTTTATTGTGAGATCACTAATAGTAACATACAGCAATACAGTTAAAAACTTCCAAGCCTTAAAGTCATGCTCATGTGAAATGAGATTAAAATCACATCATTGTAGAAGAAATAGCAATAAAAACAACAACAAATAGATTACAATGTATGGTTCTAAGAAGATACACGAAAAAAACACAATGTGTGACGTTATGGAGCTGCTGAGCGGAGTTTCATCTCAGTGCGCTTCAGGGAGTAGTATTCACCCTTCCAGTGGTACCAGGTGACGCCGTCGTTGTTGTTACCCTCACCCAGGTGGTACAGGCCGTTCAGGTTGGAGAGCTGGCAATCGTAGTACCACCACGCACCTTTGAACCTCTGAGCACAGCTTGCATGGTAGTCCTCGTTCTTCCTGTCCTTGGTACTGAATGGTTTCCCGTCATGGTACGTCAAGCTGTCTCCTGTGACAAAAACAGACATTTATACTATCTCCATAACAAGACGAGGTATTCTTTTTGTTGATGCGTGTTGGCAGTAGTTAAAGATATCGCAATGAATGCGTGTTATATATAAACATTTTAATCAAATAGTCTTTTTCAGCAACAGTCTTTGAACAGTCAATAATATAAATTGTGTATATATATTTATTATACACATATATATATATATATAGAGAGAGAGAGAGAGAGAAAGAGGAGAGATAGATTTTAAGACTTGACAGTTTAAATCAAGGTTGAAAAAAATATCACTGACACAAGTTCACAAAGTTATGTTGCCAATTACACACGTCAGCGATGCCACGATTTGAGAACACGCCACAACCTTACCTGCAGTACCGCTATAATTCCCTACGAGGAGCTTGTAGTTCTGTGATTGAGGTGAGATGGCAAACGTGTCGAAAGCGGCGTACGCCATGTTTCCCTCCACATCCTCCATATCCACCCTGAGCTGGTAGACTTTCTGCACAGCCAGGCGGTACAAGTTGTCATTCCCCAGCCAGAACTCGCCGTTCAGGTTGGAAGGGAAGCCGGTCCTGTAGTCCGCCCAGCCCCGGTAGAAGTCCACGCTTCCGTCTTGGCGTCTCTGGAATAACTTTGAGAGCAACAA